AAGTACTTAAATTACTAAAATTTAAATATAAATATAATTATTTTAAACAAAAACTGATAAAAAAAATGACAAGCTTAACAAAATTACTAAAAATTAAAATGGAAACTGAAAATATAAATTTAAAAGCCAATTCAAATATGATAGTATATAAATAATATTAAAACAGCACTGCCATGCTTGCTACTTAACCACTGCACAATATAGAATTGATTTAGAAAAAACGCTAAATTGAAATATTGCATTACTTAAAACTGTGGACTACAACACGGGTGGTAGCATTATGACAAGCCTGTTGTTGAACCAATGCATGCCGAATCGCACTGTTTTTCCACATACGCTTGGGAGTTTCCATCCACTATACAGTATAATGAGGGTGTCACGGTGTGGGTATATATCATTTTCTACAAAAACACACAAAACTGTCACACAGACACACCTTGCGCACAAAAATACCTTCAATTAAAGTCTCATACACTTTTCCATGTTTAGCATGAAGATGCTTTACTTGTACTTAGGAGAAAGAGATATTCAGATGTCCTGATGCAGTCAATTTGATCTTTACTGTGTGTTTGCATGCAAGCGTGTGATTATCCAGTGGAGGAGGGGAAAGGAGAAACAAGGGCCCTTTGTGGGGATCCCGGCGCATGTTATCCTGACGTTTCACTCAAGAACAATCATCCAACACAATCTATGATTTAAAGGAATAGTTGGACCCAAAATATATAACATTCTGTCAGTATTTACTCACCCTCTTGACTGTTTTGTGAAATACAAGAATATCCCGAAAGCTCTTTTCAATACAATAAACAAAAACAAGTGACAAAAACACACCATAAAAGCGTCATAAAAGTGAGTTGAGTGCAATATTGAGAATTTCTGAAATCATACGGTAACCTTTATGTGAATAATGGACTGAAATGTGACATTAGTCATTAAAAATACTGAGGTTCATGAGAGAAGCAGTGATGTCCGAATCATGAATGAATCTGACTGATCCGGTTTTTGAATTATCGAACTCAACCGTAATTAAGCTGGCAGTAAAGGTAAAATAATCTGTTCGTCTGTTTTCTAAATGTATGCAAAGATGAATTATTCACAAAAAGATCAATAACACACATTTCTGAGGTTTGTTTGACCTTTTAAATCAGTCAGCCATAAAAAGGTACCTTACAATTTCAGAAGACATCAATATAGTTCAAATATAGTTATATGGCCAACTTTTATAAGAAGTTTATGTGAAAATGCATTGAAAAGAGTGTCAAGCACTAAAATATAAATTTCGGCTTTTGTGTTCCACAGAAGAAAGCCATATGGGTTTGGATCAACAAGAGGGTGAGTAAATGACTTTTTGGAAGAACTAACACTGGAAATGAGAGAAAACAACAAAGGATGATGGACAGAGGGAAAAAAAGAGAAAGACTTGAAAGGGGCGAGCAGAAGCACAGAAGTTGAGTGAGAAGAAAACAAAGGATATTTCCATCAGTGGCGGAGCCAACAAACAGATGCATGAATGGAAGGAGTGTGTGTGGATCTAGACCAGCCTCAGTGGTGTCTTCAACCCTCCCACTCCACTAAACACCAGCCCTTTGCTTTTCTTCAACATCACGCCATTCTTACACGAGAGACAGCCTTGTCCCTTTTTCCAACACACCAGATGCCGGATTTGCGTGCGTGTTTGTAAGTGTGCGCGCTAAGGCTCCGTTTCCCAGGGGTGGGCTTGTGTGGTTTATTAGTTTGGATGTTTAGTGAAAAAAGAACTCCTTTAAAGGGATTCCCACAATGCATCTGGCCTGCCACATGAGGACAGATGAAAAGAGCCGAAGAAAGCAGTGTTAGGAGAGAATAGGCAGCTCTCATGCTGCTGGTAGCATATCGACACCACAGTCTGTGCTTTTTTGCCCTTGTCCCTCTCTCTAACACATATGTAGACTACTATACAGCTCAGTGCACATCTGGAAGGAGTTATATCGCATCCTAACACAAGAGGGAGCCACAGAGCTCTAGAAGCCACAAGATAATAAGCTAAAAACAGCCAAACCACCCCATTACCCATCATAAGTGCAGGATGAAAAACATTCATGAATCCATTTATGTTCATAAAGCATGTTTCTGATCTTATTGTGAATTATTCGTTTGCCCACGTTTTTAAAAAAAAGTGCATAATGGGGAAGTCGTGGCCTAATGGTTAGAGAGTCGGACTCATAACCCAAAGGTTGTGGGTTCGAGTCTCGTACCAGCAGGGATTGTAGGTGGGGGGAGTGAATGTACAGGGCTCTCTTCCACCTTCAATACCACGACTGAGGTGCCCTTGAGCAAGGCACCGAACCCCCAACCGCAGCATAAATGGCTGCCCACTGCTCCGGGTGTGTGTTCACGGTGTGTGTGTGTTCACTGCTGTGTTCACTGCTGTGTGTGTGCGCACTTTAGATGGGTAAATTCTATTTTTTGGTGACCCATACTAATTCCGAGTATGGGTCACCATACTTGGCCACATGTCACGTCAGTCACATAATAATGCGCTCATGCTAATTATTACAATCTCTTCAAAAATAACTTGGATTTCAAGCTGCCCTCTGTTGGAAGCAACTGCAATGAGGAATTCATTCATCAACTACCTCCAAAGGTAAGAAATATTTGAAGACTGAGTTTTTCTGATGTGGAAAAATACAAACTAGTTAAGCAATTTGTTAGCGTGACAAATTAGATTGAATGAAGCAATTCGATTTTGAATCTACCTTCATGAATTAACTGACAGAATGACAACAAAAGTTCAAATAGGTATAAGAAAAAAATCTTTAAAAAGTAATTATTTTATACATTCATTTTAAAAACATGCAATTTGTAATACTGCTTTAGCAAGCACTGCTAATAAGACCCTGGCGCTCTTGTGGTTTGTATTGGACCAGCAAGGATAAAGTTAGCATGCTAGTTAAAATTGGGATGCTCTGTAAATGTGGCCTCTGCTCTTATCTCAAGAGTCTCTCAAGATAGAATGTTCCAGAGTGTAATTTCTTTCAAATGCTGACAATGTAGCTACACAACCTCATGATGCAGTCCAAGTCTGCATGCCAGACAGCAGATAAGTGTAAATGTAACTTGATTTCAGAGGCAACAGAGACAGAAGAAGCTACCTTGACAAGAGAGAGTATAAAAAAGATAAGACAGTCAATAACTGGGTAGTTCATATATTATTTGTTGTTATTCAAATATGGCCTGGATTCAAATTAAACTGGAAGAATGCATCTAAAGCTAGCTAATGGTTTTACAAAATGAGATTTAGCATTCTCTGCCAATTTGTTTGAAGACAAACAAGACTGAATGAAAACCCATTATGTCACTCAGTAATATCACGTAGGAGAAAAATATAATTTCATCGCTCATGCTTGAGTGCACCACAATCAAAACAATTGATGGTAGTCGCAACATGCTAGCAAACACATGAGTTTCCATTGCTTTTATGGCCCATCCACACTAAAAACGATAACTGTAGCGAAAGCGTCCACACCATCAGATGAAAGTATTCGGTTTATTGTATGCACTGCAGTTTTGTTATATGCCAGGCTCTTTAAAGTGCCCCTATTATGGCATTTCCAATATTGCCTTTCATGCAGAGTGTAATGTAGCTGTATGTGAATGTAAACGATCAGCAAAGTTGTAAAGCCGAAAGTGCATGATAAATAAAGTTATTGTCTCCCAAAATAAAGAATCGACTCTCTACAGCCTAAACGAGTCATTAGTAATTCGAATACCACTTCCGTGACGGCTACACGTCACGGGGTAATACATTTGCATAATTCCCGCCTATGTTCTACGTTGGCCGGCAGCAAACAACTTGACCCCGCCCACAAACACATAATTTTTCTGACGACTGCATCTCTAATCTCGGGGAATTAAAAAAAATAAAATCTCAGGGAGTTCAACGCAGGATTCACTAAAAGCTTGCTCTTCAAAGATGGCTCAGTACCCTGTTTATTTGGACCAGCTGGCTCCACTTAATCACAAGTATGATAAATAATAGATGTTTATATTTTCTATCGAGCGTTCAAAATACGGAACTATGGCAATGGGCGTATCGTTTTCAACACGCGCTGTACGCGGTAGACCAATCACAACAGACTGGGCCATCTGACCAATCAGAGCAGAGTAGGCTCAAAGAAAGGAGGGGTTTAGAGAGACTGAATCTTACAACTGCTTTTAACAAATCGTTTGAGAATCGTTAGAATTATTATTAAAACTTCATGGCTGCAGTTATCATTACAGTTATAGTTATCATTTTTGGTGTGAATGGGCCTTTATATGCTGTACCAAAGTTCTGAGTTTTACCTTTATCTTTCACCCTCTCAACAATATTAGATCCTATCCAAAACTCCAAAACCAAACTGGGAGGCACAGGAAGAAGTCAAAACAATACGGATTCCCACAGGAAGATGACAAAATAAACAACTGAAGTTCTTTCTAATCAGAAACTTCCAAAGACTGAAGATAGACATCTCACTTTATCACTCTTACAGGCCCGCATAAACACCCAAGCTATCACATCTTCTCTTCTTCCCTCTCAGTTTTCTCACCACTGATATCATCCCTCTGACAAACAACTGGGGAAAAAAGGTGTTCAGGGTGATGTCATCTTTCCTCCATGAGAAAAAGGACAGCACACACACACACACAACCACAGTGTGAGCTGTAGGGTGCCAGTGTTCCCATATCTGCCAGTTTGACCTTGCGTGACACAGTTCGGCACTTGTAACTCAGACCTGCGTCAGAACGCTGAGGCACTTTCAGCAACCAGGCAAAGAAATCAGATTTACTACAGAAGGTCAGGTTGAAAACATCCCTGAATTTCTGCTCCGTGGAGCCTTTTGGGAAACTACCAGCTTCCTAGCTACTGAGAATTCAGGGTGGCTGGAAGCAAACTCTGAATGAATCATACCAAGAGGTCTAAATGTTAATGATTTATTTAGTGGATGACAGGTTGAGGATAATAGCCAAAGAATACTCACCGCTTTGGAATTTGCTATGTCTGCTGAAAAGTCTTGGTGTCCGTCCACCGCATCCTCTGCTGAAGTGCCATCATCTGTGAAGTGGAATCAAGACAGAGGACATTTATAATTTGGAACTGAAAAAAGGCTGAAGCACTTTTCAGTTGTCATTCTGTCAAACTTACTGTAGATGATGAGGCATAAACAAACAACAAAATGCTTCATTTAAATAAGTTTCGAAGAAATGGACATATGTGACTTTTAACTGAAACTTCCAAAAATCAATACGTAATTTATTAACTCAGCTGCTGATTCATGTCCGAAGAGCGAACATTTCAGTGGCGCAGCTTTATTTGTTTACTTAGAAATGAACAAATCGTGATGAGACCATTCAGATACGTTATTAACCCTATACTTTTGATAAAAGGAAATGACTTATTCCTCCTTTCCAACTGAGCTCAGCAGCTCCATGAATGTGATATAAATAACACATACAGTAAGCAGCTATTAGTAGAACAATGCTGAACTCTCATCCATGTGGAAAAGAGCTGGGCGTCTACCTTGTAAAAAAAAAATTTCACAAGACAATCTTTCAACTGTTTTCATTCTATGATGTGAGGCAGAGCTGACATCACCAGGTTGCCATGATACAGTGTGCTGCAAATACAGACTGCCATTTGCAAACACTACCTATTAACACAGTTACCTGAATGACAAAGAAGGTTTTTCCCTTCCAGATGGAAACCTAAACCACTGATCGATGGCAGAATTTTGCTTAATATTTACTAAAAATAACATTACAGACAAAATGGGAATACATATTGACCTAAGTAAGAATAACTCAATGTTATGTCCATAGAAAATAGTTTGTAAGGCAAACACCATTGTATTCACATGCACACACACAAGCATGTGTCAGAATACAATGAAGCTAATGACAAATTAGCTTCAGCTGTAAACAATCTGATTGGAATGACATGACACTTCATTTAGCGGCAGGACAAAGGCTGTATCCGAAATCGCCCCCTATACCCTCATTCACTATTCCCTACATTAGTCCTCTCATACAGTTCACTTGAAGGAGTGAATGAAAACGACTGAGTGAATTCGGACACTGAGTGCACCGGAAGGACTCCCTCTTTTGCATAGCTTGCTTGCTGTTTAATAATCATTTGAAACGGGGAGCTCCAGTAGTAAGATTAAAGGATTTATCTCAAACTCTGTCACGGAAATTATGTATAAGCCCTAGTTAAACTATTTAATAGTCAATTTACAATGAATTTGTAGCTGTGTTGTATATGCTGTATTACGCTGTGGACGAGCGCGTTGTAAAATGAATGAATGGATGATTCAGCTGTGGGCGTCGTCTTCTGGCGAGACGCGGGAATTCATTTGGTGTGCGACTCTCACAGTGCATTATGGGGATTCTCTAGCCGTTGAGTGTACATTGGTTGTACACGCATTTTTGCGGTGCACTGTGGGATTAAATGAGTGCACTCGAGAACATCCACTATGGTTTCGGACACCACTAAAAATGGCTGTATAGGGGGCGATTTCGGATACAGCCAAAGATTCAGACTTTCAAACAACTGTTACACAGGATGACGGTAAAAAGTATCGTTATCTTTTAGCATCAAACTCCCTAAAATAATTGTTTACACAATCTATGTCAGCACTGCCATAATGATAAATAAAAATGCATCACCTGTCATTTGTTCGACATATGGTTCCTCTGCACATTTCTGAAGAGTTTCACTGTGCTCCATCAAACAATCAGGCATATATTGATGTAATCCATTCAGGCTCTCAGGTGTTTCTGAAGGCTGCAGTTCCTCAGACAAACCATTGTCTATATCCACTGGGGAAGTGTGTTCCAAACCCTGGTGCAATCCACTATTAATATCCAAAGGGGAAGTGAGCTTAGCTGTTGAGGATGAGGCATTGAGTGGGTCAGACATGGAGGAGCTCTCCAGAGCTGAACCACTGGAGGTGTCTATGGCAGAGCACGGGCTGTCCCCTGAGACAGTTGTCTCGCACATATCGGTAGCCATGTCATCACATTCATCCCCACCAGGAATTACAGCAGAGATTTTTACTCCATCAGTGAAGGGTGTCTCAGAAGGTCTGTCACCTTGGCTTTCTGTTAGGAGTGAGGCACAAGACCGGTCTAGGTCATTCACACATTCAACAGTTGGTTCTAATGGTGTGTTTGCACTCTCCTTGGAGGATTCAGGGAGCTGGAACTGTGCTTTGGATTCAGGACAATCATTGTGTGTGATTTCCGACGGATCAGGGAGCTCGCTGATTGTGTCCTGTGAAGTAGAGTCAATTTCCCTTTCCTGTAGTGGTTCATCTGGTTCAACATCCTTAAATCCCGTTTCCCCTTGCAAAGTGGACACTAGAACCGATGGTTCCCCTGGTTCACAAATTAGATTTTCATTTGTGGTATCTCCAGAATATTCCTCAGGAATCTGCTCAACCAGTTTGGACGTAGAATCTGGCTGAACAAGCGTTTCAGATGCCTCTTCTTTGAATGGAGTTCCTATGATTATATCAGCTCCACAATGTTCAGAATGCAGTATTGTAGACACATCCTGTTGTAAATCACTTACAATAAAGGTTTCCGAGTCAACAGGCAGAGATGATTCATCAGAAGATTTTGATTTGTCATCCAACTGTGAGACAACAATGTCCTTAACTGATTCCGGCTCTTCAAAGATCTCCTTAGGGTTGTTTATCCTCTCATTCGGGGCTACCTCCTCCTTGCTTCCATCAGGTAGAGACCCATCAATCTGGCAAGATGACATCTCCGCAGTGATGCCAACAGAATTCCCTGTTATTGTGCTGATGTCACAGTCTGTGTCATTCAACAAAATCTCCTGACATTCTAATGTGGTTTCTGAAGATTGTGTGACTTGGTGTGGCTGTTGAAAACTTTCTGTAGTCTCAGAAAAGGGCTCCACAGCTGGACCTTCATGAGAGGAAGTCTCAGTAACAGGCGAGAGCCCTCGTCGAATCTTATGCACCGGTCCTGGTGCCATGTTTGGCAGGAGACTTAACAATTCCAAAGGATCACCCTCTGAAATGCTACATCCAGAGTTCTGCTTTATGCTAGCGTCATCCGTAACCAAACCAGAAACTGACTCAGTGTTGCCTTTGGTGTGTTCGCTAAGATTTCCTGTCTCTAGGCTACTATGTGGCTTGTCAACACCATCAGAAATAACAGTTTCATCTATTCGTACGGATGAGGTAACCTCAGAATTTACCTGAATTAAAGTCAATTTAATTTCATCTGTTCCCACCGAGCATTCCGTAGACAGCTTGTGCTCAGTCTTGTCATCGTGCTGACTGTTTTCCTCTGGATCATGGGAAGAAAGTGCTGAAGAGTTTAAGCCTATTTCCTGGCTGCTACTAGTCTCCCCTTCCCTTTCCTCTGGTAAGTCCCCTCGCCAACTAAGATCTGTACTCCCCTCGCTCTCCTCCTCTCTTTGTGAGGGCTCACTAGTTTCCATGGGGATGAGACCCTGAGATTGTGCGTGGCCCATGTCTTGGGACTCAAGGTTGCCAGATTGAAGGTTATTGTCTGTTTCAGTCTCTAAACTCCTCTGGCAAGCCTCCTGCTCTTCTTGGTTCCCTTTATCAGGCTGTGAAGCAGCCCCCTGTTTGGCACTGACTACGCAGAGCTCTATATCAGCTTCCTCCCGCTGGTTTCCACAGGAAGGGGCACTGAAAGTCAAAGAATTGCCTTCTACCCGCTGCTGCGAACAGTCAGCCTTATCTGAGGCCTTCCCAGTATCCCCTACAGCTGGTGGGTCAAGCTCCACCTCCCCGTCCTGCGATTGGACATGATCTCCTGTGCCGTTTTGACGAATACACAATCCATCCTCACTGGCAGAGCTGTTTGATTCGCAGGTTTCTTCTTGTTCAGAGTTGGGTTTCTGATACTCAGGCTCCAGAGAATTGGGCGGTAGGCAATCTGTTTTATCACTTGAGTTTCTGTTAAGAATTAGCAGTGCTGGCTTATGCTGTGGCGGAGGATCTTCCTGAATAAACAAAGTTCAAAAACAGCTATTAAATAAAGCAGCACGCGTTATACAGCCCTCATTAAAACTGACATTAAACATTCACCCAAAGAAACAGAGCATGGGTGCGTGCACAGAGAAAGTCTAGTTTGTGATCTGCATTTAGTCACTTCCTTTAGTCACAGATAGCTACCTCCTGCAGAGTCCTACCACAAAAGCTGCTGATCGTACCCAGCTGGAAATATCACTGTGATCTTAAAGTGACAGAGCAAGAAAATAAGACCCACCTACTGCCATAGAGGACTCCGAAATCACTGACTTACCTTCTGATGTGACTGCATAAGGCGTTGGAGCTCCTCCACATCACACTGAAGGTTAGGTGGGAGACTCCCTGGCACATCCTCTAGTGTCAGGGTGTAAGTGTTTAGCTTGGGGTGGTGTCGCAGAACTCTGCCGTCTGGGTAACGCCACTTGGACGTTTTAGTCTCCAACTCAGGCTGGTTGTCAACCCTGCCCAACACAAACACAGCAAACTTTGAGAACGCCCAGTCTCGAGGCACTGAATCAGCAAGGCCACACCCAGCACACCTACAGAGGATGTGAAGTAATACACAATACTGATTGTGGTTACCCATTGAACACAATGTCAAGTGTGAAAAATCATTCATTTAAACAACACAGCCAAACTTAAAACAGGTTTACATCCAGCACAATGCCGCAATGAGCTTAGACAAGAATTTCATTCTTTCTTTAGACAAATATATGAAAAACACTCACTCACACTAGTGTAAAAACCTGTTCTGCTTTTTTATTGTGTGGGGAGAGAAAAACAACGTGATTACATTAAAGGTGAAATTTAAGTTCCTGGTGGCAGTGTCAACATGTCAAACAAGCAGTAAATAGGTTTAAGACAGAACATTATGTATCTTAGTAATAGTAAATTACTAAGGTGGAATCACCCTTGTCAACCCCAAAACGCTACAAGCTTTCAAAAGAGAAAATGTGCAACTGTTTGTGTTTTTGTACGTGTAAGTAGCTCAGATTGTCCCCAGGGCTCTGACACATGGGTAACAACAGGAACTGTTTACACCTGCTGTGTATCTAAGGTTCAAAATGGTATCCATAGAAACCCTGTGACATCACTCACAGGAAAATAAAGAGTGCAAAGTGAAAAGGAGAAGGGAATATTTTAGGCAGCCTGAGCATTAGCCAAATGACAGACGTTAAAGGCTAAACTCTGAAGGATTGGAGAGCTGAACAAATCATCTGCTGTTTGCCTCCTACACAACATAATGGCATAAAATGGTAACATTAAAACAATGTTATTTAGATATATTCAAACTTATATATAATTGAAACCACAGTTATAATACATTATAATACTTTTATTTGATAACGCATAAAATGTGTTGATCATGTATTATACCTTATGCATTATACTCCAAAGGTGAAACCATAAATAGCCAAGTAATATAATGTATTATAACAGATCAGTGCATATTATAAGATATTACATACTGCGTTTTAATGACTTCATAGAAAGTTATGACAAAAGTACATCAAAATATCTTAAATCAACCACTAACAAAATACCATGAGCTTTGATGGAAAGATTTGAGGCAACATCTAAGGGTGTGCCGTGGTTCAGTACACTTGCTTTAAATGAGGCACTAAACCAAAGCACTTAATGGTCTTCTATAACAGACCCTTGAATCCAGAGAGCACAGATCACACGCTAGCTCTGGTCTCTCCTATATCCTTCTGTCTGTGATCACATTTCATTGGCTTTACCAAAGCTGGGCAGCCAGTGACCCGGTAGACATCAGTCTGGGTGACACCGCTAACAGGAAATGGTTCCTAGAGTGTCGCATCTCTCTAGTATTAATACAATAGTACTGAATTCAAACCTAATTTAACAGATGTGAGGTCACAGGTATACGTCAGATTAAATTCAGAAAGAGATATAAAAACAGGATCAAAACAAGCATAGCTCTCTCATCTCATAAATATATGAGCAGGGGAGAGATGTGCTTAGTTTTCAACCCTGAGGAGTACACAGACTGCCTTGGTGCCCTGTTTTAGAATAGTCAAGTAGGGGAACATATGGAATCTGTCCCACACAGGTTTGCTAGCTATAGACTGTGAAGAGCAATGGCTGGAGGAAGCTGATAAAAGGTAAAGGTCTCTGTTACACACGCACAGGTAATGCCACTTTACTGAGTAAATCTGCAGACAGGAGCTTGCTGGTTTGAAACAGGTTTCTGTTGCAGACTGCAAAGGCTTGCTTTAAAAAGCTTATGTGGCTTTAACTGTTTACACAGAGCTCAGAGCCACATGGCCTGTCCTTGTGCTTTGCTCTTATCTCCCCCACATCCTCCTTTCTTCAGAACACAACACTAAATCTCGCCTCATTCACATGATAAAATCATTGCTTTATTATTATAAATATGACTCTTGCTCTATTTGAGAATCCAAATCAGCCCAACACAAACATTGCCTGAACGGATCTGTGTGGCTGACCAGTGGAAGACGGGGGGAGTGTTTATAGGACATCTTTAAAAAAAATGACTTTTGCAACTTTACCTTTACAAGTGTGACTTAACTTTTTTTGTTTGAGAGCAGCAAATACGATAAAGCTGTATTTGTTTAAGGCATTTCAAAGGTCACAACGTCCGTTCTGTTTGATAAAGTCTGCAGCTTGTAACAGCCTATTCTTGCCATTAATCTGGTCAGATCAAGATTTGCAGGGGGACAATAATGACAAAGGCTGTATGAATTTGTCTCAAATACAAGTTTGTATAAGTTGTACAACAAAAATACTATCTAAACATCATTACATAATTTTATTAGGACTCATTTAAGGTATTATTATTAAAATAAATACTGTATTTACTGTATATATCTTAAATAAAACCCATGTAATTACAAACTAGCATGTAAATTTACCAGTAAGTATAAAGTATAAAGGTAAAACATTCAGCTATTGGGATTATGGAACTGAATTTTATTTTTATTCAGAATTATTTATTTTAACATATATTGCCACTCTTTCTGTAAATAAAAACTCTCAATATAATCCACATTGTCATTATAGCAGAAGTATCAGAAATATTTTGGGGAGCCTTTAGATATTGTTTTCGACAGTGGGGGCCTTGGAATCAAAAAGGTTGCTAAAAACGAGCCAAAAATCCTGGTTAAATAGATCATTTCCTCGCATACTTACTCCGTCAGCAGTTTCTGGAGCTGCGTGTGGCCTCTCTTCTGGGCGACCCTGGCCGGTGTACGACCCTGTTTGTTGGGAAGTCGGAGGGCTTCTTTTCCTCCGGGTTGCTGGAGGAGAAACAGTGCTACCTTGCGTAGTCCACGCTTTGCAGCAAAGTGCAAAAGTGTGTCTTGTGGTCCAGGTTCTACAGGAAACGAAAGAGTCTAGTTATGGTTGCGATCTCAGATCAATCTCTTTCCTTGTCCTTTAAAAAAACACTTATCTAATGCATATTTCTGATAATGCTGCTTCAGGAAAGTGCCACACTCACAGCTTCATAGAGGCTCTGAAGCTCTAAGCTCCGCCCCCTGCAACTTCAGAACCAATGAGAGCCGGCAAAGCCCTCGAACTAGACCCACCCCCACAATTCCCTCGACCTCTGTCAACAGAATCTCCTGACAAACTTGTGCAAACATCATTTCAATAGATGATTTACAATGAAGACAGAAAAATCAGGCAGAGAGGTTTCCTGAGTGAAAGAAGTGATCGTATTTGAAGGTGTTTATCATAAAGACAGATTGTTTTAGAAAGTTCAGGAAGCTTGAATGAGGCTCTCTGTGAAAGCAACAGAGACAGAGGAAGGATTGTTCTTGCTGGTTAATGAGAGGCTGAGAATGAGACTGCCCTCGTTTAATCGGCCCACTGAGGACCCCACAACCAATTTGAAGCCCTGAGCAAGAAAAAAAAAAAAGAAGCTGTGGTGAAGTGATCTGGCACTGGAAAGAACAGCAGATCAGGATCACTACACAGTCTGATTGGAAACACAAGAGTGGACATGACACTATATTGAAAATACTGGTCTCAAGTAACTTGTATCCCAAGCCTATGTTAGAATTGTCGTACTCAAGCCTCAAAACACTGGTGTTACCATAGTATTTCTTTTAAACAGTGGTATCATAACCGTACATAAGGTTTCTGCACGTTACAGAAAATTTAGCACATTTTTTTAGCAATTTTTATTTACTAACTTTTACTCATTTACTCACCATCATGTTGTTCCAATCAAGTATGATTTTTTACAAGCATCTTACACAGTCAACATGCTCTATTTATTATTATTAATAACAATAATAAAGTAGATTTTGCTGACATCCACAAATTAACAAATAAACAAAAAATGAATTAAAACATCAAAGATTTTTGGACAAACACAAAAAAAAAAAAAAAAAAAAAAAAAAAAAAAAAAAAAAAAAAAAAAAAAAAAAAAACCACCCCCCCCCCCCCCCAGGTCATTCTACACCTGAATTAATTTTATTTCATGTGTGTATATTACACAGTGGACTGAAAGCACACTTTATTAGCTCACTTTATTAATATATGATTAAATTAACCCACAAATTAACATACAAAATCATCACTAAAACAAATATTAAATAAATTGAAATGCAGAAAAATATAAATAAATGAATTAATATTTGTTTCATTTTATATATTTATATGTGCGCTATGGCTCAATGTACACAGACAATAAAGCACTTTTAAAAATATATCAAATTCAAATTCCAGAAATATTTATACCACCCACCCAAAATTCTGTCATCATTTACTTACCCTCATGTTGTTCTAAACCTGCCAGCATTTATTACTTCTGCAGAACACAAATAAACGCATAGAATTTTGAAAAATGTGCCAGTTTCTTTTTCTAAAAAGGTTCAATGTTGAATTGGTCCCTGCTGAATTTCACTGCATGGAGAAAAGCAGTTAAAACATTTCTCAAAATATCTTCTTTTGTGTTTCACAGAAAAAAAAGAACGTTATACGGGTTTGGAACAACATTCTGGGTGAACTATCCCAAAGAAGAATCCAATGCCTCATTTTCCATGAATATCATCTCATATGTGCCATGCAACGTGTCCGAATACCAGCAAATTCCCAGCTGTCATTCCCTGTTCCCACATTGGAAACAGTCATTATTAGCTTACTAGACGTTTTTATTTTTTTATATAATGTGTTTAATTTCACTTATGGAAGACTGCTGGCAGTACAGGCTCACTGATGCACTGGGCAAGATGCCCGTGGGTTGCTCCGGTTTCAGGGCAGGTCCAGGTGCCCAGCGCCAGCTGCAACAAATGCCAGAGCTTGGGGAGTCATTACACAGCTCGCCCTCTCCCTCAACAGACAGGTCAACTCTAGGAATTTGTTTTTCCTAAAATGTATTCGGCATAATACCCATAAAGAACTTACTAAAAACAAGATCTAAAGGAAATGCTACATCTAGGTCCACACAGCAACTTGATCTAAATCTGCAGGAAATACAAAACGCTACCAACATGTGCTCAGGTACCAGATAAAACCTGCTATTGTCTTTTCTCTTTTTACTCAGAGTGCTGAACTTTGCATGAATAGGTAACAGAGCTTTCAGATGTTTTACTGAATGACTTATTTAAGACCAAGGCTGTTTATAAAAGATAAGACTGTGCTTATTATGACATCACAGAGCCTGTTTAGCCTTTGTTGACCTTATCTCTCTGTGCCTACGGTCCAGCTCTCACCACACCTCCTACATGGACACAGATTGTGCCTAATTTAGAGGACAAGCTTGAGTCACATGAGAGCCGGGAATCTGTTGTCGCGTCAGCTGCCCTGATGAATGGTTCCTCGCTGTGCAATTGTTTGGATCCTCACATCGGCCAGATCCACACACTCATCCAAGCACACTTAATATACACAAGCTCATATTTCAGCCCAGTGGATTACAGCTAGGAAGGATACACAAAACAGGGGCTTCCCAAGACGTTTGGTCGTTTTCGACTGCAATCAGTATTTTAGTATTCGTGTGATATCTTTTCGAGCTTTTGTTTGGCTTTGTTCAGGTTGCATATTATAATCATCTACCAAGAGTTTATTTTCAGTTCCCCTTTCAGTTCCTGCATGGTTGACAGCCAGTGACACAATAAAACAAACAGACACAATACAACTGTACTTCTGCTGGCACGTTTGCTGTGTGCAAATCGTCTGAAAACACTTGTCAATGTAGATGGTCACACAGTGCATTACACATTATACATTCATATGAACAGAAATATAAATAATAAATATTTATATAAAATTAAGAAAATTATCAATATTTTTTTAGAAATAAAAATTAATGATAAATATTTTTAACAATAAATAAATAAATATTAGGCCCTTATAAATAATATAATACTTTAAAATGTTTTTAAAGAAGTCTCTTACGCTCACCTAGACTGCATTTATTTATTTGAAAATAATAAAAATTATTTTACATTATATATATTACATAATATACATAATTTGTAATGCTGTAATATATTATGAGATTTATACATCTGGGTATGGGTCAAAATTATCGATGTTTCTTTTATGCTAAAAATCATTAGGATTATTAAGTAAAGATCATGTTCCATGAAGATATTTTTTACATTTCCTACTGTAAATATATATAAAAACGTAATTTTTGATTAGTAATACGCATTGCTATGAACTTCATTTGGACAAATTTAAAATGCGATTTTCTCAATATTTTGATTTTTTATAGTTGTATCTCGGCCAAATATTGTCCGATCCTATCAAACCATACATCAATGGAAAGCTTATTTATTCAACTTTCAGACGATGTATAAATCTAAATTTCAAGAAATTTACCCTTATGTCTGGTTTTGTGGCCTGGACCACAAAACCAGTCTTAAGTAGCATGGGTTAATTTTGACCCATACATTGTATGTATGTATATATATATACACAGGCAAGTCAGTAAAAAAAAAGTATAAGCAAGTTAGTAAAATTCTGCTCTTAAGTCAGTAGAAATATGGGCCAATTCTTCGAGAGGTTTGCAGATCCTCGGCCGAATACCAGTCACAATTCTATGGATATCAGTGAGCAGGAAGAACACAGGAAACTCTTTTAACAAGAACTTTTCTGCCAAAATTCACATGAAACACAAATCTAAGTCATTGACAAGCAGAGTTCCTGCCATTTATCACATGCATCTTCTGTCAGCCCCGAAACGAGTCCACAGCCTGACTTAATAGTCTGTGTAAATGCCCCGTGCCAAAAAGAGCACTTTATTAGGGTGGGAATGTTTGCTTTTAGATTATCTGACATAGCGCTCCTGGCTTGATAGGAGTACAAGTAGGAGGAAAATAAAGCTAGAGTGGACTAAAAGTCTGAACCAACACACAACTTAAAAACAAAAATACAAAAAATAAAACAGGTTCGTTGCTGTACTGAAGGCCTACCCTGAAGGCACAGTGCCCATGGTCTAAGCATTGTAACTTCCCTGTACAGATGTTAACAAGATGTTCTAAAATCCTCGGTACAACCCACCCTTACAAAACACGCAAATTATGTAAAGGAAAAATGTATTCTTTCAACTAGCTGCCTCCTTGATGAAACAAAAAAGAAAGTTTATTTTCCAAGCTCTCACTGGTTGCAAAAGCAGCTCAAGGCATAATAAGTAATCATTTACAAGACACTTTCAAAGCGACACCAGTATAATTGTGCTGGCTTCTAAAACACATTATTTTGCCAAATTTTAAGGCAAAAGGCCTTTGTGGAGAAAAGTCCCAGAATGCAATGAGATGAGCTTGGTGAGAAAATTCAACCAGGACGGTGAAAGAGTTGAGAAAATTATAAATGAACTTGTATTGCATTCAGTCCTCAAAAGCACTGATAGAAATGAACTAAGTATGTTTTTAGCTTAGCAACATGCTAATGTCTGACTCTACTAGAATACATTGAGAGTCTTTCATGCTAAAGCTTTATATATTTTCTAAAACAATCCCCAAAATACTTTTCATAACAGGATGCTGTCTACAGCCCACTAGGTTTTAGAACCTACAAACAAAACCCTATAAATGAGCAATATTTTTTGTTTTAGTCCCGAGGTATCAAAACCTGCTCCTGGAGGGCCACTGTCCTACACAGTTTAGCTCCAACCCTAATTAAACACACCTGAACCAAGGCAAGTGTTGCAGCTAAACTGCAGGACATTGGCCCTCCAGGAGCAGGTTTGGACATCCATGTTTTAGTCTAACAGTCTACTTTGAAAACCTCAAAAACAGTGCCTACTCACCAATTCCCAAGCCTTTGCAAGTGCCCGTGTCCAAGTCTGTGCCTAGGACGCTCCAGCCTGCCGGTAGAGGCAGATGTCTAAGAGCAAGAGCCAGAGTATCATCCAACCTCTCACACTCCTTCAGGGGGATTTGACACTCGTCCAGAAGTAACGCTCCCTCTGTCTTCCCAGCCGCATTCACCAGGAACTGGGCCATGTCCAGGGCAAGGTCCTGCACGAACTGGAAGCATTCCTCAGCCACAGGGTCCACTGAGCCTCCGGGCCGGGCCTGGCACAGCGTGACCCGCACAGTTTCACTGCGATCATGAGCTGTTATGAGACAAAAAAACAAACATTGGACAGAAAGATATTATATGTTGTCATGCATTTGCGATTTTGCTGATGTCCACAAGATAACAAACGAATAAATAAAAAATTTAATAAATAAATGTATAAATTAATAAATGAAAATATAAATGATAAATTAAATAATAAAAATATATAATAAAAAATTTGAAAAATAATTATCATAATAAGATAAAAAAAAAATTATGCAATAAATAAATCAAGCTTGGTATATTCCTTGAAACTAAATAGATAGCAACACAAACAATTTTTTTATTTATTTATTTGTAAATAATAAGATAAAAACGAAAATAAATAAATAAATAATTTAAATGCAAGTGATTTTGCAGTTGTCCACAAGATAAACTAATAAATACAAATGTAAATAAATAAATAAAGCTTGGTATATTCCTTGGGACCAAATAGATAAATAAATACATTTGTTGCTATTTATTTATTTATTTATAAATAAGTAAATAAATAAATACAAAGCTTGGTATATTCCTTGACACTAAATAGATAGCAACACAAACATTTTTTTATTTGTAAATAATAAGATAAAAACGACAATAAATAAATGAATAAATAAATAATTTAAATGCAAGTGATTTTGCAGTTGTCCATAAGATAAACTAATAAATACAAATGTAAATAAATAAATAAATAAAGCTTGGTATATTTCTTGGAACCAAATAGATAGCAACAAATGTATTTATTTATTTATTTATAAATAAGTAAATAAATAAATACAAATCTTGGTATATTCCTTGGCACTAAGTAGATGGCAACAAAATTGTAGTATTTAAATTTATGCATGTATGTATGCATGTATGATTGGAGAATCAGGGAACGCTGAGAGTCGGATTTCAACTTGTTTTGCTAGCATGAGAACCACAGCTCAATGTACACTGCCAGATCACAATTCTGAGTATGAAGCTCTTTTAAAATGTAAAGTCAAAATATTTTGGTGCAGCTTGCAGACTATGAAAAATATTTATACCACCCACTAACATTTCCACAACGTTGTCAACTATAAATCAATTATGACCAAACTAACTAGCTATTTATCCCGTATCAAACAGCGAGGTCTCCTTTAAATCATCTTCAAACTGATTTAAAAAAAAAAAAGATCTTGCTTAATATTTTGGCAGCTACACATCAACAGACAAAAAGGAGACTAAGTGCCGATGGTTGAGCGGAGAGGGATATAATTACTGAGAAATGTTCCTGCATTAACACTACTCATTTCCATTTCCAAGAGGGAAACAGCCGGAGACAGAGACGACATACTATAAAAACAACATTCATAAACAATTAGAACTTCACCATGAGGGCTACCAGGAGGCCTGTGTTGTTTCACTACAGTTATGAGATGTCACTGCAACAAGTGTCACGAGGACATAGTTGGTTAGTGAGCACCTTTTCTGTCAATGCAGAAAAAAAAACAATATGTAAATCCACACGTCCACACTCACCAGCAGCACATTTGTTTGACCAAAACATCTCAGTGGGACATCCGTCTGAGTTCAAAGCATTTGAGCCATTTTTGCCGATAAAGGCCTCTTAGCAGCCAAACATTTGAAAATAACCAGAAGTATGGACCTCCAGCAGAGAGGCAGAGGGTTGAACGTGTACCCTGGCGGGCTGACAGCGGCGCACCTGAGGAGGACGATAGTAGGGCCATTCTTCATGTGCTCTTAATGCATTGCTGAAAAGCTTTTAAGTGCTCAGCCAGAGTAGTGATTACAAAACCGGTGCCAAACGTCTGTGCTGGATTCCATAAGACTGTATCTACTGTGATCCTCTGTGGAAGTGCTCGGGGGCTACAGTTGAAATTTATTTCTTTTTTGACTCTGAATACTGGCTAAATTGTGTTTTCGTTTTTATTTCTTTGTAAAACAAGATAAGATCGCAATGCTACCAGTTCCACGAAAAGCAAAAATGTCTCAATAAAATGATGGGTTACAAGATAAATCTTCAGTTTATTACAGTAATGGATTGTGCCTGTTAATGGATGGTTGCTCAGGGTGTTCTAGTTGGTTGCTAGGGCATCACTAAGTGGCTGGTAGGATGTTCTAGGTTGTCGCTATGTAAATGCTTACTAGTTCTTACATACTGCTTAGGCCCCTCCATCCTTGTTAAATAAAATAAAATATATAAACAAACAAAAACATGAAAAATAAATAAACCAATCAAACAAACAAATAAATGAAGCAAACAAAAACAAAAAGACAAACAAAAACCCTCCCCTACCACCCCTTGGAAAAAGAAAAGAAAAGAAAAGAACCCCCTACTAACCCTGGGTTATTATATAAATAAATAAATAAAATAAAATAAAATATCAAACACACTAAAACATACCAAAACAAACTAAATAACCTTTATAAACCTTCCTCCACTAGCCCATGGACAATATGTGGTCAAAACTATAAATATTACTCTTTTTCTATACTTAAGCCAATTATTAAAGTTCTGTTCAGCAAGTATTTTTATTTTAATAAATAAATAAATATAAAAACATAAATAAAAGAACAAATGACTAATTAACTAAATAAATAAATATATATTATGAAGGACAAACAGAAACAGAAAAACAAACCCTCCCTCACTGTCCCCAGACAAGTCTATTTTTGCACCAATAAAAAAAAATGTGTATATGTTTGTAGACTCTGGTTATATTTTCTTCCACCTCTTTCAACATATTACTACATTAAGCAAGAATGTGTCTGTTCATTAATAGCTACTCCTTGTCCATGAATCTTCAGAAACTGCACTGGAACATCTGAATCAGCTCAAGCATGTGCTCAGTGCAATAATACAGAGGTTGCCCTGTGGTAACCGGGACAATTTTGCGGGTGAATAATTGGGCAAAGCGACAATGTGCCAAGCAATACCTGGACCAGGTCCGGCATGACTGGAATGTAAATGAGTCGATCTCCGCAGGTAATAAGCGTCTGGTTCCAGGAAGAAGCTAACAGTTAACAAGCACTGATAAAATAATGTACGCGGAATGTGTTGTGTGACCGTTGGGGTTTTAAATACTGACCTGGGCACACGGCTTGCAGCGTGACATGGCTGACTTTCAAAGTGCTGGAAACGTGCCTCTGGGTGGAGCCGGCGAATAGCAGGTAAAACTCTACATCCTCCTCATCCTCGACACACTCTTCCTCACAGAGCTGGACAGTCAACAGACACTCACCCTGAACAAGAGAGAGAAAATAGATCATATTTAGAGCATTACTGCTTAAATATTTAATATCTGTCACTATTAGGCTGAAAAATAATTCAATTGCATTTTAAATTATGGTGGAAGTGAGACAATCAAGGACTAAGAAGTCCCTCTCGTGTTCTCTCGAAAGACTAAAAGAAGTACTGATAAAGTGTTTAATCGCCTGTGGGTGCAGAAAATTACATAACGCAAAGCATTAACTCCTATAAATCATCATTATAGGATCCTCAAACAACAGGGAGGCAACAACACCGGTCCATTAAGAGAGACACATTTCATTACAAAGAAAGCAGCGACAGAATGGAAGCCTATATACATATCAACAAATGCTGAAAGAAAAAAAAAAAAAAAGCAATCGCTTTTCCCCACCCTCATAATTATAGCTTTACTGTCATAAAGGTTCAACATGTGTCGAGGGTGCAACAACACCGGTCCATTAAGAGAGACACATTTCATTACAAAGAAAGCAGCGACAGAATGGAAGCCTATATACATATCAACAAATGTGAAAGAAAAAAAAAAAAAAAGTCATCAGCTTTTCCCCACCCTCATAATTATAGCTTTACTGTCATAAAGGTTCAACATGTGTCGAGGGTGGGTGTGTATGTGTGTGACAGCTTTTTACTCTTCACATACTTTAAATGTCACTTCTAATCTATGGTATTGACAACTACTATAATATATCACTTGAAAGAATTGTGGATGTGTTATTAAGTCCTGTTTTTGGCTGGAAGGTGAACAGACAAAGCAAAGCAAAACAAACAAACACCAAAAACAAACCACAACAAAAAAAACATACAAAACTAAAAACAGAAAACAAAAACAAATAAACACACAAATTAATAAACGATTTCTAAGAGCCTTTCTATTTAATTAAATTATAGTTTTCACCAAAATGTTTATTTACAAATAATATAAATGATACTATTTGATGTTACATTCAAAAAGGATAGATATAGATATGTGTAGCCTCAAACCAAGTAGCAACAATCAAACAAGCCTAGAATATAACTCCCAGTTTGTCTGTACAAGCAATTTATAATACTGTCACCTGACACCAGCAACAAATCGCCAGGCGTGACAAGAAGAAAGTCTACCCTCCGTCTTAGATATCATCCCTTATTTATAGGATGCTTGTGAATGAGAATGAGACTATTCGTGAGAGTGAGAGAGAAGGAAGTACCATAAGATTAAAAAAATAAACAAGAGAAAGAGTGGCTTGACATAAGTTTGACAGGGCTGTCTAAGCAGAAGGAATGTTTATACTATCTAAAACCAAAGTAAGAAGCAAGCATTCCCACACTGCATTTACCTAGCTACAATGCTAGGCCACGGCGTTTTGTCTGACACACACAGGGCCTTCAGAGTGTGACGCAAGCAGCGGGACATCCTAGCGAGAGATGTTTTCATTGGCCAGGCTGCAAAAGCCACATGGTGCCCTTGCGAAATGCCAGTCAGCTGCTTTTTTTGGCTGACGACGATCACAGCCGCGCAGTGATTCGGAGACAAGACTGAATCCTCATAGTGAGATTAACTCCTGTGCACTCAAGGTCTGGAGAAAAATCTCAGCTGATATTTCTATAGTTAAGGTACACAGTAATATTAAATTCTGGTGTGCTGGCATTCAACACTGGACCAATTTTATTATTTAACACTAATTTATTCTGTAAATGAAAGTTTGAATGCTTTAATAAAGTACTAAATTAATAATATTAATTATTTCAATAGGATTTCATGTAACAAAAGCAACAACAATAATAATAATAGTTCAAAACAATTCATTATAATAGAAATAATATTAATAATAATAATTATTATTATTGTTATTTTATTATTAACAAAAAGTAAAACTAATTTAGTTTAATATTCTGGTTTTATTACTCTTGCTGTTATTATTATGATTATTTTGGCAAATACCTATAAATTAAATAATAAACATAAAAAAAATAAAACAAAAAATAAACAACTAATTCAATTTCATTCACTGGGGTCATTATTATTATTATTATTATTATTACGACAAGCAAAAAATGCAAATAAAAACCCATCATTTAATATTCTGAGGTTTTTATTATTATTGTTGCTGCTGTTGTTGTTTCTAAATAAATAAATATTCTAGGGTTAATGTTATTATTATTATCTACTGCTACAATTTTTTTTACTGTTTTTATTATTTTAACAATTAATACAAATTTAAATAATGAAATAAAATATAAATAAATAAATAAAAAACACTAATTTAAATTAATTAAAGGAGTTGTTAAAGGAATAGTTCACCCAAAAATTGGGTGTATAGAATAGTACCCTCATGTCATTCCAAGCCCATAAGTCTTTCGTTCATCTTTGGAACACAAATTAAGATATTTTTGATCAAATCCGAGAGCTTTCTGACCATGCACAGTGCAAAGATTTATTTTTATTTTTTTTTTATCAAAAATAATTTGTGTTCCGAAGATGAAGAAAGGTCTTACGGGTTTTACGGAATTTACATTTTTGGGTAAACTATCCTTTTTAAAGTGAAAGACAAACTACGACGAACAAAAATATTGCCAACTAAAATAACCTTAGGCTCTAAACTTACATTACCAACATTCTACACTTGTTAACACACACCCAATGTCCTATTCTTGATGCTACGGTGACAACTACAGAAGCAGGTGAAGGTGTAAAAGCAAGGCTAGACATTAAGGCCACAAATTACATCACAAGAAAGTTTGTTTCCTTGTTGGTTGAATCCCTGGGTGTGGGAAGGGCTTTTTATGGCCAGGTCATATGACCAACTTGCATGAGAAGCAGTTATGGTGACCCTTTGATCTAAGCGACATGCATAAAGTTTGGGAATCTGACTGCTAAGTCCCCAGGCTAACCAAGCCCACACTTTATTGATGACGCATACATAGGCCTCTAGAAATGTGTTACTGATGGAAGCTATCTTTATATTAGAAGCCAGAAACATTCTTTGGTTGTAAATATATTTTATTTTTACTGCTAACATGCACAAGTCACTCATGGGCCACTTTTAGACTACAGCGGCCCAATATGGATAGCAGGTGCCGGACCAGAAAAAAAGTGCCAAAGGCGAGAGCATAAACAAATGAAATAAAGACCACCGTGGTGACTGTGTGAACTGTGTCCATAAGACATGGAGATTCAGATTCATTGATACCGGTCTTTGTGTTTATTGGGTCACTTTGTCTTATAAACAAACAGGATTTTGGTTTGATTCAAGGTTGATTTTTCAATCCATCAAATCATTAATGCTGCATACAGGCCTGGAGATATTTTAAGGCCGATGTGTGTTAATCCTTGGTAGATTTTCTAAGCAAAAGATCTAAAATACCCAGAATCAAATTTATCGTCCTCAGAATCTTTTGGCTTAGCTGAATATAGGATCCATCTTTTCAGGAAGCATTTTTGGCACCTGAAGCGGGCTCATGGGGGTTCTCGAAGTACTGTTCATACTTTGGTTGTTCGTTGGTCTATTTCAGGATCTCGCAAGTCAATGTGCCAAAGGAGGAGTGCCTGGCCTTTTCTCCCTGTGCTTAAAACAACACTCGGTAAGCTGCCTCGTCTGAGAGAACTGTGGGAGTGAGAGACCACCGTGCATCTTTTAGCTACTTGCATTTAGCTCAAATTTAGCGGAACAAGTTTAGACCAAGACTCTTCAAAGTGCAGCTTTCGTTTCATGACATGTCTTAGCTTCTTCAGAAACCCAAAACCGCCATTCCTCTGTTTATAATTAAGGAGAGCAAATTAGCCCGCGTCATGTGTTGAACAGAGGGCGCTCCTTCACATTAGCTTCTACAACAACCATGAAAGTACTGAGTCTCACATTTGTGACTTCTGTGAGTTCATCAAGACGTCCTGAGAATAAACAGTACAATGCCTCATCAAGCCAGCCACCTGCAACTGCTAAACATGGAAAAACCACACGTGCAGCTTTAACCACACACATGCTAATACACACGAACACAGCAAATGCACTGAGCCACAGTACACACAGCTGTGTGCTTCATTTATGGCGAATCATAGCAGCATCTGTGACATGCTTCATAGTTCATGACAAAGGACGTATAACTGTACCATTATACCTCAAATTCATTTTATATAATATTTTTCTGGTAGAAAAAATTAAGATGGTCCTCTTCATGGCCTGATTTGTTCAAGTAGTGTGGTTTATTTTAGTGAACTGTTCTGGTCCTCACCGTTGATTTGAAAGTACTGTGGTGTCTTCAGTTAGACATCCTGCTGACATGTGGGCTTCTTATGCCTCAAAGGGGTCATATGATGTTGCTAAAAAGAACATTATTTTGTGTAATGAAATGTGTTTATGCAGTTTAAGGTTCAAAAAACACATTATTTTCCACATACTATACATTATTGATTCTCCTGAAACGCGTCGATTTTTTACAAAGCTCATCGGTCTGAAAAGCGAGGTGTGTTCTGATTGGCCAGCTATCCAGTGCGTTGTGATTGGCCGAATACTTCAAGCGTCTAACGGAAATGTTACGCCCCTACCATACTGTGATGCCCTGTCCGGCCGGAGCGACGAGACAAAAACATTAAAACCCATTATAAACAAGGCATTTGTTGCATCCAGTGGGGACATAATTACAGATTATAATGACTTATACTGTCTTTTTACGCGTTGCATCGCGCCACGTAAACAAAAACATGTCTGCATTTGTGATCGGAGAAATTACAAACAACAAGCGCTACTCTACACTTCTCAAAACTCACGTTTGAATTGTCAGTGGCAAATTCTTTATCCACAGCGTGAAGTTGATGTATTTCCTCAGCGACTAGCACGGATCAGCTCTAGGCATGACAAAGTGGATATCTTCCACTTTTGGAAGGCCAAACAAAGTAGTTTCGCTTTCACAATGAAACACAGCATCTTCACGACATGGCGGCAGCAACAATACTACAACGAGAATAAAAGTTACGCCTTCTTTCTTTGCGTGAACATTTGGGCGGCGTTATGCAAATCTTCCCACATCGTGACGTAGACATGTGGGGGCGTGTTAGAACGAGCCGTTTTAGGTAGGCGTGGCTGAACTTTTATAAAGAATATCTCTTTGGATTTGAGACTTTAGTCTTTGCAACTTTACATATCTTTTTTATGCACCAAGAGCTTGTAACACTTCAAAGAGAAAGGAAAAATTGAAATCACATTTAAGCAAGTCTAATTAAAACAAAATAAAAACATAATTACCCAGCACCCTTCCCCCTGACCGAAGACTAGAACACGCTGATTCAGCCTAACATGAAGAATTTGAGCAGGCCTTGGCGCAAGATTTCATTAGAAGTTTCCATCAACTACGGATAGGTCAGGATGGTCAACTAGTTGCCCAAAAACCAAGGTTGACTACTTCACATACATCTTTTTAGAAGTAATTTATTAAAGACACAACCTCTCAAAGATGCTTAGCATGCTAACTGAATGAAACAAATAAACATAAAAAAATTATGCAATACTTACATATAATGGGGCTTGCTGTGGATTCAGTTTCATGGCACTGGCCCCTACGGAAAAGAAAAAGTGAGAGAGTTAGAAACATGACATTTCTGAAAATCCAGAATGTTCAGTTACAGCTCACTCTTATTTTAATTATTTTTTTTAATTTCACTGATCATGTACAAGTACAAACTAGCCTCTGAGCAACAGGCTGCACAACGCAGATCAGCTGGGGCTTTTAACAGACAAAACTGTGACCCTAATAACTATTAGTAGCACATTAGCTTGCCTACATTCATAATGGTCACCCCTTCCGGGTCCTTCCATTAAAAACCTTCAGTAAAAAAATTTATCACAGCTAATAAATAACAGGAAATTCATTATTTGCATCTGTTTTCAGGACTCAACAATAGAGATAGCCTGAGGTGTTCACTGATCAAATACATGTGTCTTTAATACCTAGCAAATTAAAATAATCAGATTTCTGTGGTATACTGCACAATGTTGTGGAACTGTGAGGATATGTTGCAATGGTTTTGTTATTTAGCTGAATAACAGATGAGAATTTACTGCAATTGCAAGAAAGACCAATGATTAGAAGTATCGGTTAGAATGGGTTGAACATGATAACAGGATGTTATCATTTTCAATAAAGAAAATCAGAGAGGAGTTTCTTTCCCACTCCATCCATTTTCCTCCACACAAACATACTCTAGTAGAAACAGAGGCCACACAGACGCCCAGAGAATTTGCCACTTGGTGGAATCTTGCACATTTCCCACCTGCAAGCTGCAAGAGGGTGTAACGCTTCACCCAGGCATGAGAGGCAAAACCACAGCTCTTAACCCACAACACACTGTAAACCCAACCACTACCACAGAGATCCAGACAACACCCAAATCTCAGCTGATTCAAGAAAAAAAACATATTAGGCAACACAGCAAGACAAACCATCTCTTTTAATGTGATGGCTAGGAGCAGCCCCTAATACAGAGGGTTGGGAAACAAGTGACACTGGAGTGTTAACACCACCTCCGCCTTCTGTTCACCAAGGATGATAAACCGCCCCCAGCTATTGTTCCGTTATCTGCCCCGGGTGAGGTATTAGCCTTTAGGAGGTCCTTGTGGTTATCTGAGGCCCCACTCCTAACCTGAACACACAAGAACAGCACATACACACACTCGCAACACACAGACATTTACAAGCACACACTGCCTTACATGCTTGTGACTAAAGTGTGTTCCTTCTAACCTTCTAAAGTTGAGCTGCAATAGATTTCAATGGAGTTTTATGCTAATATGTTGCTAAAGTAACAATGCGGTACTGTTAGCATAACAATTCCTGTCATACAAAGTAAAATTGTCAATTTTACATAAAACCTTTTAGTATTAAATGAAATTAATATTTCATTTTTCTGTTTAAGCCACCATCTTATATTCAATTTTGCATTGAGCTGAGCTCATCACAATGCATTCCGAGACTACATTTTTTGTGAAGGATACAAGCAATGCTGTCTAAAACAGAAATAAAATGACATATCCTAGCACAATTAAAGTTGCCTACCTTGTTGAACAACCTTCATGTCGGAAATGTGGCTATGATGCCTTAAAATATGGTCTCTGTAAGCTCACTAGGTTTTGGAACAGAGCACAGAATTTCAGTTCTCTTTAAAAAGCAGAAATCTGACTGAAACCCACTAACAGAATAAGAGTACTGTTTTTGATGAAACTTTAAAGATTACAACATAACAGCATCTTTAATTGTTGAGGCAATCTCAGAATGGAGTTCAATATCCAACATGGCGGACAAGTTGAATAAGCATATCTAACTTAGAATTGCGAAGTACCAAAAACAGTTCCATCAAACTTAAATTATTGCTCAATATTTCTTTTAACTATAGTTCATATTATTTAGGTATTAGCTTAGCAACATGCTAACTTCAGTATTGATTGAAACGCCACTCGATATTTGCATAGTCTCTGTTTTAGTGCTCGGATAAGAGTCATTAGCTTAGCAACTCCGTCTGGAATCAACTGAGTATTAGTCAAATGTCTTCTGCGCTTTACAAGAAGACCATGCAAGTGCTACACACAAGTGAGTGTTAACTCAGTCAGTATGCAGTATGCAGACAGTAGACAGTGAGGTGGCTTACTAGGTTTTGGAAGAGAGCTTAGGTGTTATAAACTGGACAACTGACTAATCTCTTCTATTCTGCTAATACGATGCCAGGCTACTTTACTTGAACCCCTCTAGGACTCCTGTGCCAGCGGAATTCCCAGAATACATTTCCCCTCCCTATTCTGCAGGAAGAGATCAGACATCCCACCTGCTGCTTTTTCCACTCATGCTGAATCACCAAGTACCCCTGCCCCAAATCCAACACCAACCATTTAGCCAGCTGATCCACTTCCAAATCTCAACTAATCAGCTAGATCTACGGTGGAGAGAGAGAGGTGATGACCCATCCTAAGCCAGACGGCACTGTGGATGCTAAGAACCTGGCTAAGCGTCAACCAGACAGATCAGAGAACATGGCAGTCATGGAGGGGGCATGCTGTTACAAAGATTAACATGAAGTGGTCGGGCATGCATAAAACCTGAACTTAGCTTTGATATGAGGCCTCCTGGATGGACCTACTGAGCCAGCACACTGCAGAGTCAGCAAGCCAGTGGTTACCCTCAACAGATTCATGTCTACAGGCTAGAGAGAGGGCTGTAGTTTGTGTGCCTTTCCTTGCGTACTGGCACCCCTGAAACTCAAGCACCAAGGGCTTTTTTGAGAACCCATAAACCCCTACAAAAGCCCCACTATCCTACACATGAGAGACAGGAAGTAGGAATCTAAAACAAGGACAACATATTGACAGCAAGTCAGGGGTGGGCGGCAGGGTGGGGACAGGGCTGGACATTATGAGAGGGGTCACAGCCTCTTACTTCAGGCCAGTTCTCTTGTTCTTTTAGCTGAATAAAAGGGCTACTGTTGAAGCGCAACAGGATGGGGTACAGGGATAATCAGCTGGTCCTAATTATAACCACTGATTTCATCCTCTTGAGCTAAGCCCACTCACTATATCTAACACAATAGATGCACACAAGACTAAACACACAAGATGCACACAAGACTAAACGCTACACTTAAAAAAAACATATGTAAAAAGGTGGTCTCAGATATTAATTTCCCTTACACCAAAACTATCAAAAAGATATAGAAAATAGGGAGTAATTTGCAAGTAGACACCAAAACCAACATAATATATTTCTTTGGTACCACAAAGTGCAAACTGTTGAATCATTACTAAAGCGATATTTTTGCCAAATCTGATCTATGAGAAAAGTTGTACCTTAATCCAAGGTAAGATGCCACATACTATTGATCACCAAAGTAGATAAGAGACAGAAAACCATAAAGGGATAGTTCATTCAACAATTCTGTCATTAATTACTCACCCTCATGTCGTTCCAAACCCGTAAGACCTTCGTTGATCTTCAGAACACAAATTAAGATGTTTTTGATCAAATCTGAGAGCTCTCAGACCCTGCATAGACAGCAACGCAACTGTAATGTTCCCAGGTCCAGAAACGTAGTGAGGACATCGGTAAAACAGTCCATGTGACATCAGTGGCTCAACTTCAGTTTTGTGAAGCTGCGGGAATACTTTTTGAGCGCAAAGAAAACAAAAATAAAAATGTTTTCAACAATTCTTATCCCCCGAGTTATGTCTTCAGCCATTTTAGAGAGTATCACAACGCATACGCACGCTTTCCCCTAAGCATAAACAACACTGATTACACAGATTATGTTCATGCTCGCGCTTTCTCCCCCAAACGTAAACAACGCTGATTACATTGATTATGCTCTTGGGTACTCTTCAAAATGGCGGAAGGCGTAACTCGGGGGAGAAGACCTGTGAAATAAATTGTTATTTTTGTTTTCTTTGCATTCAAAAAGTATTCCCGTAGCTTCTCAAAACTGAAGATGAGCCACTGATGTCACATGGACTGTTTTACCAATGTCCTCACTACGTTTCTGGACCTGGGAATATTACAGTTGCGTTGCTGTCTATGCAGGGTCTAAGAGCTCTCACATTTCATCAAAAATATCTTAATTTGTGTTCCGAAGATGAACGAAGGTCTTACGGGTTTGGAGCGACATGAGGGTGAGTAATTAATAACAGAATTTTAATTTTGGGGTGATCTAACCCTATAAGGAGAGAAAGGAAGAATGAGACCCAGACATGACATTAGCTCAGTGCATCCAAAGCAAAGTTGAAGTCTTGATCTTGTGGTCTTGAGTCCTCTTAAGACCATGTAAACGTGGCATTGGTATGGGCATAGTTCTTGGCTTAGGACAGGAGTGTCCAAACCTGTTTAGTTTAGCTCCATTCCAAATTAAACACCTGACCTAGCTAATCAAGGTCTTCAGACTCACTAGAAACTGCCAGGCAAGAAAGTTGGAGCTGGTTGGAGTTAAAATATGCAGGACATTGTACCTCCAGGAGCAGGATTAGACACCCCTGGCTTAGGGTCTCAACAAGACCACAGTCAACTGACACTCAACCACTGAGCAAAGTTCCTCTGTGCTTCAAATAAATGTTGCAATAAAGTATTTTCTCTATTCAAATTTATTAAAAGGGAAGACTGGTTATTGGACTAACAACTCTAGTCTGGGTCTTGATATCCACTATGGTCCAAAGCTTGAGTCAACAATTAGGCCATGGCCCAAACCAGAACCAGTTTGACTGTTAGGAGGAATTGTGTGTACCATCTGAAGGAGGACAGTGTTTACCCTTCAAGTTATTGGGTTTCATAAGCACCTTTGATCTTAGTAACTTCAAGATCAAAGGTGCATATGAAACCAAATAACTTGAAGGTAAATGATGGAAGGTCCAGACCCAGTGCTGTGAGTCTTGTCAAGACCCAGACACATAGATCAAGACCTCTCCTACACACAATAGCTCCTAAACATCTTTGTGGTACCAGAATGGAGGTAGACATGGGCGACTATTCTTGCTTATATATCACAATTCAAAAAGCAAGCATCTTTAGTTACGCAAGCTATATTT